TGTGGGTAAGGAGGACATACGTGCCCGGCTGGAGGTCAGCACCGACTTGGGCTGGAAGCCAGGATTGCTCCTCCTGGGATGCTGGTGCTCCCTATATGTACTGCTCCAACCAGCCCCAAAGTCACCTCCAGAAGAAGGAAGGAGATGAATGGGGGTAAAACAGGTCTCTTGTCTGCTGAGGTGGTGGATCTCCTCTGCTTTCAGCAATAATTCTCACGTCCCAAGTGGGCTTTGCTTGTCCCACATCTCTCCTGGCTGTCCCTTACTTTCCTATCTGAAAAAAGTCCTCATTTATCTTGTTTGCTTCTGCTGGCTCCACGCCGTCTGCATGAATGCCTCTACAGGGTGGCTAGAGGCCCAGCTAAACCCAACAAAGTGCCCTTCCTTCATGCCATGGTAGTGCAAAAAACCCTTTTCTTCCACCCACAAGCCGACTGGCTGGTGCTCAGCTTCTGATAGGATCCATGGAGCCCACAATCGGTGCCCCCAGCGTGCCAGGAAAGCCTGTAGCAGGGAGGCTTGGCTTCTTCTGGGGTCTGGGGGCTCCTCCATCACACCCCTGTGCAAAAAAAAACAGTGCTCCCAATGCAGCCGTGCCCGCGGCTTGTGAGCCGTTCACGGAGCGCTGATCTGCTCCTCGATGCCCATCAATAGTTGACGGCAGAAACATTTAAAACGGCGGAGAGAAAGTGCTCTCAGCCCCTCCAGAGGGTTGGTACGTGACATCGTCCTTCTCCTGTGACACAAAGAGCCCAGACCCCAGGCTAAGCGCAGCACTGGAAATTCGGTCCTTGGAAGCAGTGCCTGCACATTCGGCACAGCCGGCCCCTCCCGGCCACTGGCAGAGGGTGAGCGCAGCTGCTTTGTGGAGCAGATTCACGCACAAAAACAGATTTGCTTTAACTTTTGTACTTCTTTTTTTGTCCTGGTCAGTAGAGCACTAGTAAGTTTTTTCTATAGCTAAAAAAAGCTCTATGTTTTCCCCCTCTGCAGCCCAGAGGGCAAGCCAAGTGTGTGCTGACAGGCTCTGTCCTGACATCCCCAGGAGTATTTGGGAAGTGTAAGAGGGACGGCAGCGAATGACCTGGAGTGACTTACAGTGGATGTATCAGTGTAAACTGGGAAGGGAGCAACAAGAAAATCTCCGCAGCACTCAATGGGGCTTTTTCAGTTTGCTGGGCCGAGTTTCCATAGCTCTGGGTCCCACTGGGTCGTGCACGGCTGTGGCTTTTTCCAGCAGCAGCAGCAGCAATAACGATTCCCTACGAGGGTCCAGCGCCTGCCTTTTGGCACTACTCAGTGCCTTTACTCCTGTGAGCGGTGGCTCCTGCCTGAACGCTGTCTCCATCCAAATGCTCAGTGCGGGGGGGCTCTGCTGGATGAGACGGCCAGAGAGGTCAGGCAGCTCATCGTGTCCCCGCGGTGGCTGGGGCAGGGAAGCGATGCGAGTGCAAGCCCCTGGCACCCACTGCGCTGCGGGGAGGCTGCACCCAGCAGCCTGGGCTGAGGCCCGGGGGATTTTGAGGGTGGGCAGCTGGCTCTGGCGCTTGGAGGATAAGCTGGTTCCTCACTGGCCCCGAGTTAGCTGCCCTTCTAGGATATGGCAGCACAGCCATGTGCGTGCATGTACGTGCAGGGACGTGGGCTTTTCAGGTGTGAAATGGGAAGCAGATTATCTTGAAGGCTTGTGAGATGTCACCAAGATGTCAAAACAGAGCGCAAGCTGGGAATTAGCAGCAGGTCCTCCTCTGCCTCCCTGGGAAGGACTCCCACCTGCGTTCAAGTTCAGTTGGGAACATTTCCCAGTCTCCAGTGAAGCACATCAGCTCTGCCGCCTGGCCCACGCCCGTCTGCTCAGCAGACAAGACCGGATCTGCCCACCCCACGGAGCAAGGGCAAGACGTGCCGCACCGTCTGGGTGCCCGGCAGCCCACCACTGGTGCTTCAGAGCACCTTAGCCAGACCAGAGAGAAGGTGACGCTCACTGCCCGGTGGCTTTGGCAGGAGACCTGCTCGGCTCATCATCCCCGACCGCGCGATACGAAGCGTGGGCTTGCTTTGCCTTCGCGTTGCTCACCACCCACTGTAAAAGCTCTGTGTTTGTCTCAGCCCCGTTTGTGCCACTCTCGCAGAGCTGCTGCTCAGCCTTTCCCCCTATTAATAGACCCTAATTCACAGGGGGAGAATATCCTTTAATGCAGTGGTGATATTTAACCCAGGGGAGGTATCAGTATTTTTTTTTAAAAAAGCTTGGGTTTTTTTAGGCTTTCGGTTCCTTTGCTCCAGCCTCTGCTCCACATCTGTGACTGCAGCCTTCTCCACCCAGCTGAGAGGGGAATTATGTGTGCAAGAGGAGTCAGGGCTCCTTTCCTGGCACACCACTCACATCGCTAACACTCCTGTGCCTGCTGCATGCTCAGCCGCATGCTCAAGGATGCTGCACCTGAAAGTCCAGTTTCTGGATGACTCCCAGAAGATCTTCGTAGTTGATGTAAGTGGGTATCATATTCTTATTGGTGTTTTCTTTTGCTAATTAATGAAATTGTTGCTGGTCTGAAGGGTTGCATGGTCTCTGATAGCTTCTGGGTTTCAGCTTTAAAAAAAAAATAAAACCAAACAAACGAAAAAATGTCAAATCCAAAACGAGGTTGCAGTGCTGATTGCTAAGGGTCTTTCAGCACCAACACACTCCTGCTCTCCCCTTTTGTTGGCGTTATGTATAAAGGAGGAATGGCTTTTACTTATCTGGTGTTGTCTTTTGGAAATCAGCTAATATGAAGTGATGTTCTTGACAAGTGTCGAGTTCTTCTCTCATTTGTCTGGCTGCCAGTATAAGCATTCAACAAGGAAGAAAAATCTGGGAACAGCATAAAAATAGGATATTTAACCAAATTACCCCTGGCGAGAAACATCTGCATGCATCCCTTCCTGGACGTTCAGTTGAAAAAGAAAACCATGTGGGTTTGAGAAGGGCTGAGGAAAAAACTCACTGTACCTTATTTTCTCCATGACAGTGTTTCACAATGTTATTAATAATTCATATTTAATAAATGGTAGCTCTGAATATTGACTGCTGAAATAGGTTTTAAATGTTAAGTATTAATGTCTGTGGTGTTAGATTTGTATATATGTATACAGAGAACTGAAACTAGATATATCTTGACTGTGTTAGAAACACATCTTTTTACACTTGTGATGATTGAGCATTTACTGTTGGTTAGGATTTGATAATCACAGTAGCTAATGGAATTAGATAATTCAAGTAGATCTGTTCTAGTACTTACCTGCGTCTCCTCTGTGACCACAGCGATTTATACAATTTTGTTTTTTTTTCAAGTCCTATCACATTTCTTAGACAGTCTGTCCTCTGGTTTTATAGCACAGCCTGAGAACTGCTCAGGCTCGAATGTGCTGCTCAGTTTCTTTGCAAAGCAGTTTTGCACAGTAAAGGACTGTAAAGCAATTCCATCACTTGGCACAGTATGGAAACTGATTTAATTTAATTAATGTATCCTAGACCCAGAGTCAGCTTAAAAATGAGACTAGTCGTTTTAAAATGCTTTTTTTTTTTCATATTGATTAGATCAGGGCATAGTGAGACACACTTTGAAAGATGCTGCTGCTACGATATTGCTGCATTTTTTTTCCATCTCTGCTTTCTTATTTGCCCAAAACACTTACAGCACTATAGCTCTGCACAACATGTTATTGCAGCAAATAGCTTCCATTAGAGGAATTCCTGTTCCTTTCCTTTTTTAGCACGGAACAGTACTGGAAACCCCTTTTAGGCATTTCATGCATTTGATGCTGTATGGGTACGATAAATGAGTAGTCGAATTAGTGACTTCTCTATTATAAAAGGACTGCTTTGGGCTAAGTTTTGCGCAGATATTTCGAGCAACTCCTCCTAAAGCCCTCCTGACTTTGGAAAGCTCTTTTGAATGTGCAGTACTTCAGTGTAATGGGAGAGAAAAAGACAAAAGAGAGAAAATACAGCGGGCCTGATTCCCCCTCTGCCTCTCGCTTGGCATACGCATCTATACCTGCCTCACGTGGGCATTGCAGCTGCTGGCACGTGCAGCCAGCTCTGATTTCCAGTCTGGCTTTGCACGGGAATGAGTTCCTCCTGGAAAGGCTTCTGCCTCCATCCGCATCCTCACCAACAACTGGGACCCGCCACCCTCCCCACGGCCACTGAGCTCCCAGGATTTCCTTTGACTGGGTGCTGGAGATGGTTCCCGGGATGGCACCCAGCAAGCCAGGTCTGAGTGCCCACAGGGCAGGGGAAGGCGAGGGCCTGGCACACCTCTGCGTGTCCCCCATTGTGCGTTCCCTGCTG